CTGGCTAGAAAGTTCCCAAGAAACATGTAACTAGAAACAGTGTAATCATTCACCTTTTATTTACCTTTTTAACCTGCATTTGAGATAACATCAATATCCCCCAAGTCATCACTAAAGTTTATAGAGGCTGTTTTTGTCAGAGGGAAAAAAAAATGATTTCTAGCCGGGCGGTGGTGGCGCACACCTTTAATCCCAGCACTTGGGAGGCAGAGCCAGGCGGATCTCTGTGAGTTCGAGGCCAGCCTGGGCTACCAAGTGAGTCCCAGGAAAGGCACAAAGCTACACAGAGAAACCCTGTCTCGAAAAAAAAAAAATGATTTCTAAGTATTTTTTTTAACTGACTCAAATTATGCTGGCAAACCCAAGCTCTTTTTCACTGTTAACCAAACTCATTACACATTTATATTCCTTTAGCCTCCCCAATCCCCCAAAAGAGCCAGGCTAACAAGTTGCTAGCTGATCAGTAGTGACCAGGAGCCAAAGTTCTAGCTTCCTTTGGGCTCTAGAGCCTTCTGGCTTGGGATCAATAGAGAAGCAACATGAATGGGCTAAATCTAGGCTCTGTGTCATCAAGGTCAGGTTCCAGAACCTCGCTGAGCCTCTCCGCTTCCGAACAATGCAGCGCTCCTGCATCTCCTAGACTAGGAAAGAGAGGATGCTGGCTGCCTGTGGAGGTGAGAGTCCAGCCTCCGCAGCCACCTGCCTCATTTCTTTGACCCTAAACTGATTTTTTTCCCTACGAGTCAGAGCATGTGCTAGACCTCAAGGCTACACTGAGAAGCACGGAATAGAAAGCCTTCTTCCAAACAAAGGAGAATGGAGGCTTCCTATCGTTTCTTCTGAGGTCAAGTACAATCAGCTGCACAAAACGCGGTATTCCCGGGGCCCATCTCACCAGCTCAAAGGATAAAGACAGCAGCAGTGTGGAGACAATGACAATGTCCCTTGAAAAAGAGGAAAGAAGAGAGAAAAAGAAGGAAGATCTGCTGAGAGCCACAGGGGTTTCTTGCTGTTCTGTGTGCACCTCCTGCCTCTTCACCAAGGCCAGACAGGAAGGAAGAGCCTACAGCTCAGAACTGAGCGGGGGCAAGCCCAGAGGTGGCACCTCCTTAAACCTGGCACCTTCACGTCTCCCTTGCCTCAGCTCAGTCTGACCCTGCTCTTCCCCTCACATGTCCGCATGTCACCTTCTTTTGGGTTTAGAGCTGCAGAACCAGCCTGTGATCACTAGGACCAGGTCACTGGCTTTAATCTCTTTGCTTCTGTGGTCAGGCCCGTCATCCAACTGTGGTGTACGGGCACTGAGTGTAAAGGGTTCTTCACATAACCGGGCAGTGTCTTCTGGGGCAACTGATGCGGAATTACCTTCCCAAGCTGGCTGATTTCTGCCTCTATGGGATGAAGGCGAACTGGCATTCTGTTGGTTGATGTTTTCTGTTGGAGAACTAAAACCCACTCTCCCTCCACAGGTGTTGTGACAATGTGTACACTAACGGCATGATGGTTTTGTACAATAATCTGTGGTTTCTAGCAGATCAGATGTTGCTGAGCCCAGTATGAGAGAGAGAGAGACCCCTCAGGACCCATGATGTCTTTTCCTCTCTCTGTGTCCAGGCACCTAACTACACAGATGGTAGATGCCCCCCAAAATGTTTGTTCTCTGAACATAGGAATGGAGTTAATAAATCAGAAGTTAAATGCCTGCCTTCACGGGGCTTTGGCCCTTTAGGAGCCGTAAGGGTGGAGTCAGGCAGCTGGCTGTGATTAACCTAACGCTGAGGCTCTTCTTCCCCCACAGCAGCCAATTTGCTTCTGGCTTTTGCTGGCATGCGCACATTCCTGCTCTGGTCTGTGAGGAGCTGTATTTCTAACTATCATTCCTGCCTCACTTGGGATTTCACCCCTTTCTAGTGCTACCCTTCTATACTGAGGCCCCTGGCAGGGCCACAGAGAGTGCCCGCCTCTGAAAACTCTGGCCCCGAATTTATATTGGCCTGGGTCACATTTCACAGCTGGAAATACTGAGTTCTCATCCATCCATCCTCCCCCACCTCCCCGCGCTTCTTCCCTTCCCTCCTCTCTCTCTTCTATCAACGAAGGACTGAACCCAGGATCTTGTGCATGCTAAGCAAATGCTCTATCACTGGATTCAGTGCCCTGCCTCCCTCCTTTCTCTCTCCCCTGAGAATCACATTAAGCTGACCAGGGCGGCATTTAACTCACTCTGTAGCCCAGGCTGACCTTGAATGTGTGATTCTCCTTCCTCAACATCTCTAGTAGCTAAGATTAAGATGAACAGACTTGGGTCACCAGGCCTAGTTTAAATGCTAAACTCTGTATTGGAATGATTCAAACATATCACCTAGTCTAATGACTCTCTGGTGACACATTGAGGCCCTGATGCCATTCCTAACTTCTGTCCTGAGGTCTATGACATCATTATCTCTGCCTGCTACCCTGCTGCCACCTTAGGAATTGCGATCCTGAGACTTAGGACCAGTTTCCCTCAGCAAGCTTTACCACACTTCGTTGTATTTAGTGTGAGTACAGAGCAACACGAGTGCTGGAGGGGGGGGAAACGCACAGAAGTCATTAAAATAACATAGGCACACAGCAGAACCACGTGTTGTCCTTACAAACATGTTCTTAAGTCTCTTTAGTAACATGGAGCAGTAGTCGTCTATATAGTGCTAAATGGAAAAAATGACCGGCTGTCCATTCTATTTGATCTAGGAAAATGAGGCGCGTGGTTCAGAGCAATTTCTCTCTCCTCTCACTGCACCACTGGGTGACAGACAGCCAACCGCCAGCTTCTGCTGTAAACAGTGTTACCGTTTGGTACATTGCCACCTCGTCTTTTTTTTTTCATGCAAAATCTTCTGTTAATAGAATTTAGTGCTGTACACGTGCAGCCCTGGGCAATGCCCCCGAGGGACAGGCTGGCACCAGAGCACTGGAGGGGCTGTGACTTCGGGGGGTGTCCGTGCAGACGGGCATGAAGGCTGTTAGCTAGAACTCCCCGTTCCTCATAGGGACAGAGCAGCCCCATCCCTCCGGGTTTAAAGGAGATGAGAAAAGGCCTGAAGGGCTCTCATGGCTGGGATACAGAGCCCCAGCAAGCTGGAGCTGACGGGCGGGCTGTCTGGCTATGGGGTAAAGCAGAGACAAGGAGCCTGCTGCTCACGGGTGGAGATTCCAGGCTAAGGATGGTGCGGGTTACCAGGCAGAGGATTCCAGAACAGGCTCCTTCCTACAGAGCAAGCACAGGTGTACGTACCTTTCCACCTTCGACTCACGGGGCACTTCTGTAAATTATTCCTTTTCACTTTGGGTTTATGCTAACCCCAGTGGGGAGCAAGCAACATACACAGGATGGATGGGTCTCTATCCAAGGGTCTGAGAATCGGGTTACGTGAAAGAGAGTAGATTAGGTTTTCAAAAAGACAGTTCCAAGTCAAAAGTTCAATTGGGCTGTGAAGGGTAAGGTTGTGGTTTCTATGCCCGAACATGTAACTTCTAAAGCACTCAGTAATGTCCAGATTAAGTGCTTTCAAAGAAAAGCTTAGCCCTCCCAAAGAGCTCCTATGTCATGCCCTTAAATAAGGATTGGCACACAGTTAATGGGACGTCGACTCTGCTAGACGAGCAGCTAGGCTGTCTCGGAGAGTCATGACCCCTCCTCAAGAGAGCCCGGAGTTCCCATTCAGTTCTGTACGTGCATGCACAGCTGGAAGGAAATATAAAATATGAGCCTTTGCAGCCACCATCTCTGCCCCGTCACCTCCCTCACTACCCACACCCTCTCTGTCCCCTACAAGTGGATGCCATTAAGAGTTCCTTCAGGAGTTCCTTCTCCTTCTTCTCCTCCTCCTCCTCCTCTTCCTCCTCCTTCTCCTTCTTTTGTAACAAGTACTTTTTTCCCCCTTGAAGCAATATTAATTCACAGGACAAATCCACCCAAACACGATGATCTTCCGTATTTGAAATGGTCTCCATGGGAAGGCTTCTTTGCTCTGGGTCCTTGTACGACATTTCTGGAACCTGTCACTGTCCTGCCCACACATTCCTTGAAGTTTGTGTCTGGGGCTGTCAGAAGCCGCAGCCACACTACCATCCCGTTGTGGCTGCAAAGAGAGATGAGCGTGTTCATAGCTGCCCTTGCCTGGAATGCTGGCGCCCAACCCAGAGCTGTGTCCAACAAGTGGCACACAGTAGGCCAGACCTCCACTGCACTGCACGTGTGCCCTGGCTGGGACCAGAGGGACGCTGGTGCCAAACAGCCACCCAGAAGTCACAAAGCAGGGCCTGCCTCTGCGGTTCCCTGCAGGGCCTGGTGGTGAGGTCTCCTGGACGGAGAACGGGGAAAGGGAAATCCATACAGCTGTGCTGGTCATACCTCCCTGACCTAAGAACTCCTTCCTTTCACCTCCATTCTTCTTCCCAAAACACTGCCATTTCCCATGGCTCACTGAGTCTTTGTCATGTATGTCATCCGTAGTCTCCCTCGACTAGGATTCTTCTCGAAGGGGATCAATCGACACCATTAAAAGATTTATCAGATTGTTACATAGCGCCCTCCCCGTCCTGGGTGCCGCGGCATACTCAGATTCGGGTAGACAACCCTTCCTATGCGCCACGCCGGCTGCACTCTGGGCTGGCCGTCTACTTCATGTCTACTTCACCCTCAGCTGCCTCCCCTCTCTGCTGTTAGAACTGTGTTCCAAGCAGACTTTGGAACATCTTCCCCCCACGGCAGCATTGACTTTGGCAGATTTATTGAGGATGGCTGATGTCCTAACCTATTTGCTTTTCCAGAGCTGGTATTTGCAGGGATTATTTGGAACCAGAACAAAATTCACCCCACGCCCTTATGCAATTCCTTTGGCAGGCTCTATCAGATAAATAAAGCCCTCTGCCCCTCCATTGGTCTAGCTCTCCAAGCTGATCGTCTGGGCTAGTCCTCACTTGGGCCCATCTTCTACTGCCTCTCTGGAGCGGCCATGAAGTCCCTGGTCCTGCTCCTTTGTTTTGCTCAGCTCTGGGGCTGCCAATCAGCTCCACATGGTACAGGGCTGGGTTTCAGAGAAGTGGCTTGTGATGACCCAGAAGTAGAACACATGGCTTTGATGGCCGTGGACTACCTCAATCAACATCTGCTTCATGGATTCAGTCACGTCTTGAACCAGATCGACAAAGTCAAGGTGTTTTCTCGGGTAAGTGAGCCTGCGATGACTGAACTGAAAGGATCTATGTTTGGGGCGCAACCCAGTGCCCCAGAGGCTAGCATCTCCCAGTGTAGATAAGACTGCAGCGGAGACTGGTCTCTTCCCAGAAACGGGACAGGGAAAGAGGAGAGCAGGAGAAGCCACATCAGTACCGTGAGAGTACCACATCTCACAGACGATGCTCCATGTAGGAAGAAGAAAGGACTCTGAAGGATAGTTCACAGACCTCAGGTGGAAGGCAGGACTTGCCGGGAAAACTTGGGCTCCTATATGCTGATTTGAAAATCACTTCTCTTTCTTGGCTTCTGTTCGTCTCTGATGAAAATGGAAAGTGGCGTTTGACCAGCGCCCATGTGCGTCAGCCCTTTAACACAGACCATTTCATGAAGCCCCCTCTTTCCCCATTCCAGCCCTGCATGGCAGCCATGCTGTTGGATAACAGATGGCAGATGTGGTGGGCACTCACAGGTGGAAACCATAAACTCTCCCATAGTTGGCTGCTTTTGACATACACCGTGGGAAATTCCATATGGTTCAGCTTAACATAAACATGGAGAGGACATGCTTGTGTCACAAGAGACTTGTGAATTAGGAGGGAAAGTAAAATAGACATCAGGATGCCCAGACTGGGGAAAGATAGCCAGTATTACAAAGGGACGGCTGATTGGAAACCAGGGTTTTCCTGGGTGAATTTTAACAGCACGGCAGCAGAAAGGCATGATGTCCAGCTCTGTGCAGATGAACACGCAGTAAACGTGTCAGAGGGAAAGCCACCAAAGAGCATTGTGCACCAAGCGTAGAGATTGAGGGCTGCTTTCCTTGGGACTCCCAGGTGGAGCAGGAAGCAGGGAGTCGTTTGGGACACCCCTGCACTAAAACGCAGTGCCTCTTCTCATGGCATGCTGAGGTCTCAGGCAGAGCTGAAAGGAGAGGTAAACTGAGCCGGCTTGAGACTCTTCCAAACTTTGGGATGGTTCAAGATGTGAAAAGAGGGATACATGACCCGGTAGAGTAACTGAACAACCTCACAGGGTCCTGCAAGACTCCCAGATTGCTTCCACACCAGTGATGACAGTTTCCCAGCCCCAGAATGGACAGGCAGGAAGCAGGAACGCACTGTGCATCCAAGGCCGGATGAGCTAGACAATGGGAGAAGCCATGAGAATCCTCTAAGGAAAGGAAAACTGAAAGGAGAGGAGGGATGCGGGCAACTAGAGAGAAGAAAGAATGAAACAGAGCGACAGAAAAGAGACAGAGCAAGATGCTGAACTGCTCAAAATAAAAAGTGGCCCTCAGTATCACTTCTGCTTTGTAAAAGCGAATAAGGACTCAGAATAATAAGGACTGTGGCATGCACAGCCAGCCAAACCCTCCACCCCCCTTTCTCCATTTCACACCTGCCCCATCTATAGTGAAAGACGAAAACCAGAAGACAGTGTGGAGACAGGGGAGGTTGGGACCGGTGGGGCTCTTCTCACTTCTCCCAAAGTTCACCCTCACCCAAGCTCCACCAGGGCTTCATGCCAGCTGACACATTGGATGGGCTGGCACTTGCTCACCTCCTCCTTCCCTCTCCACAGCGGCCCTTCGGAGAGGTGTATGAGTTGGAAATAGACACGCTGGAGACCACCTGCCATGTTCTGGACCCCACTCCCCTGGCCAACTGTTCTGTGAGGCAGGTGGCCGAGCATGTGAGTCCCAGTTAATGGGTGCTACCTCATGGTGGGTGGGTGGAGCCAGGCCACGGCGGTTCAACAGAGAGCAGCCGGGCCTTAGCCAACTCATGGCAGCCGTCTTGGCTAGCCAGGGCGCAATTTCGAAAACCGCTGTTGGATGGCGCCTTCCTGGGGGTCGATTTTCACAACACTTGAGCTTTCTCCTTGAAGCCCTCCCTGAAGGCAAATTATAAATGTAAGAACTGTGAAGGTGATCTTGGGTGGGTACCTCCCACAGCCCTGCCAGGACACTCCCCAGCTGAGCACCATGATGCCGTGCTCCTGGGCATCAGCACGGGTTTCTTTTCCAGGCGGTGGAAGGAGACTGTGACTTCCACGTTCTGAAACAAGACGGCCAGTTCTCTGTGTTGCACGCAAAGTGCCATTCCACTCCAGGTCAGATGATTCTTCTGCTTGTTTTTATCTTGTAGCAGGAGGAAGGAATCAATGATTTTGAACCCAAATAGTTCTCACTTCATTGGCAAGGATTCGGGGTATTGGGGTTCTAACACATTTTTTTAAAGGAGCTTGTTCCCATGGGTGAACATTGTCCCTTATGGCTATGACTTGGTGAAGCTTCATACAGCTACTTGAAGGTTTAGAGAAAAGGTGTGTTACGGTTGGAGCGTGCATAGCCCTTTCTGAATAAGCAAACGGTATTGAGTACCTCGCAACTGCAGTTAAGACCCCATTCATCTTTCTGCCCAGACTCTGCAGAGGACGTGCGTAAGATATGCCCAAATTGCCCACTGCTGGCTCCGCCCAATGACACCAATGTGGTGCACGCCGTCAATGCTGCCCTGGATGCCTTCAATGCACAGAATAACAGAACCTATTTTAAACTGGTGGAGATTTCCCGGGCTCAAAATGTGGTAAAAAATCTAAGACTCTTTTGGTAGATTTGGGCAATTAATTTGGTGGCCCTTGGGGAATGTTTGGGGGTGGCAACTAGAAGACAAGGGGATATTGGTTGAAAAGGTTGGTGAGGGGGCTCCTGGGACTGTGAGGAACCCCAAACTCTCAGCAACTGTCCCAAGCTGAGCCACTTCAATATATCAGCCACAAGGAGCAGCTAGGCAACAACCTGGCACCCCTACTTCTACTTACCCCTTAACACCAGGGCTCTCTGTTCACACGCAGTAAATTCACTGGATGCCAGCCAATCACCACCCCACCACCACATCCGCAGCAGTCTGGAAATCAATACTTACAAAGGTCTGGGGCTACTCATACCGACAGGCAGCTAATGGAAGGTTCCTAATCTGCCTTTCAAGTCCAGAGATGTCGGGGTTGGGAGGGACCCATCTAACTGTACAACAAAAGTTTAACTGTTTGCGTGCAACAGAATTGTGATGTTTAAGAAAGCTGGCAATCTGGAAGTAAGCCAGGACATAATTGCACATGCATTAACACAGGTGGTAAATCTGTAGTTCCTGGAAAATACCCATCCCATGCTATACCAACTACCAGCTGTGCCGTGCTGGCGAGGCTCCAAGCGTTATGAGGAAGGAGGCAATAAATAATGACTTCCATTCTCTCCTCTGCTTTGTTTCTCACTCGATCCTGGTGTATGAAAACCGGTGTGCGGCCATCTCTTCTCTTCTCCCTGCAGCCGAGAATGGCCGGAACATCAGGCTCCAGTGGTTGAGGGCCAAGGAGATGCTGGGTTCCCATCCCTGCCTGTCTAGAGTTGGCCTTTTGACTTCCCGTTTCCTCTCTGAAAACTTCCCTCTCCCCTGAGTGATGCACAATGAACACTTCCCAGTCCTTTGAGAAGACTCAGCTCCTACCTCCACAGCCCAAACTATTCCGAACGCAGTCCCCTCAGCCGCCCAGGGCCACACACATGGTCTGTGGGATTTGTGTTCTCTCAGGTGTGCCAGAGTATGGCCTTCCCTCCTTCCCCTCTCTCCTCCCTCCCTCCCTTCTCTCCAACTTCTTGCTCCTCTCAATTCCAGCTCATCTTGCCTCACGTGTGTTTTCCTTTTTATTCTTAGCCTCTCCCAGTTTCTACTTTTGTGGAGTTTGTGGTAGCCGCTACTGATTGCACTGCTCAAGAGGTCACAGATCCAGCCAAATGCAACCTGCTGGCAGAAAAGGTGAGTGGCCCAGACCCTGGGGTTCTTGGCACTAGGCAGACCTGGTTGTGTTGAACAAACATCTCTTTGTAGTTCACTTCTTGGGGCTGAAGGAAGAAAGCGGGGAAAAAAAAAGTGCAAAATGTCCACTTGTGAAGCTGGAGAAATGGCTTAGCAGTTAAGGGTACAAACTACTGTTCATCCAGAGGACCCAAGGTCAATTCCCAGCACCCATGTCAGGCGGCTCACTTTTAACTCCAGTTTTGACACCTCTAACCTTTGCAGGCACCTGCACACACACATGCACTCAGAAACACACACACACACACACACACACACACACACACACACACACACACACACACAGATCCATACACATAATTATAATTAATAATAATAAAATCAAATCTTAATTTTTTAACATCTCCACTTACCCACTTTCTGTGGGGCTGGGCCATGCCGGATCTTTCTCTGGTGCCTCACCTTCCCCTTCAAGTGCAGTCGCCAAACTATCTCACCTCTGAGAAGTATGTGAGTATGCGGAAAGACAGCGGCCAGTTCCCGAAGCAGTCTGGGCTCGAGGCTGCTGGGAGCACGAGAAGTAGCTTTCCCAAATGAGCCTCTGATACTTGAAAGCACTGAGTCTTTGAGCCAGTCACATCCATTTGTGGAGATTTAGCTTCAAGAGAGTGTCAGAGGTGTTGGACTGAGATCCACCTGTAAAGATGATGCACCCTCCTTAACTCATGGCGGAAGACAGAGGAGGGATCCCAGTGTTCAAGGAGAGTGAGTCACTGAGCAATGTGTGGTGGCACATGAGCGAACAGAAAATTGTGCGGGATAACGATAGATGTGAGAAAAGCATCCCTAGAGTGACTGGAAGACACAGGGCACCAAAGTCATGTTCACAGTGACCTCAAGTCCTAGTTTAAGTTGTATTTAGCAGAACTTATTTAAAATTAAAAAACCCACACCTGTGTTAGCAGTAGCTCTCCCTACACCACCCCCGTCTCAGGGATGACAGGCAAGTGGTCTCCCTCTCACAGTGTTTCTGTACATTCAATGCTATTTGTAGAATTGCGCACCATGTGTCTTATAAGCAAAAAACCAAGTTTCATTTGAAGCAAAGTTAGGGTTTATTAAGTGAGATGTAAGTTTTTTTTTTAAGAAAGCGATATCTTAGATTTAAGTGGATATGTGTATGGAGAGAGGTGGGTGGTAGGACTGACTTTCATTACCTAGGACATGGGTGTGGCTTCTCAAGAGAGAGTTGCCCAGAAATTATAAACTTAAAAGGGGTAAATTCAAAAGAAAAGAATTAGAAATTTACGTTTCTTTGCTTCGATATATTATACTGTAGTTGAAACTGGGGGAGAACCATTTTTGTATCATTTAAAATAACGCTTTTCTTTCTGGGGACAGCAATATGGCTTCTGCAAGGCGAGTGTTGTCCAAAAGCTTGGTGGGGAAGAGGTTTCAGTGGCCTGCAGAATTTTCCAAAAACAGGTAACTTCATGGATCTTCTTCAGAACAGTGACCCCTTCACACTTCTGCAATGGATTAGTAATAGTGGGATACTTGGCCGTCTTGTCCTAAGCCTCAAAGTGGGATGTAACACTACAGTGTGTGAACTCATCCCCTGGGTGAAGCAGTTTCAGCCCTGCCTTTCTTTCCCTCTCATTCACGGGTGGCTATGGGGGGGGGGGGGGAGTCCTCGTGTGGAGTTGGCAAAGCCGCCTTGTTATTTGCAAAAGATGGAAGTGCTTTTCCTAGTTACAGAGACCAAGTGGGCTGCTCTGCCTGGCAGCTCGGAGGTGCTCCTGGCAAAAGGGGGAAGGCTCTCTGTGGGTGGGGTGCTCGTAAGTGGGACTGTGTTTGTGGAAGGAACACTACTGAGACTGCGGCCCCACAGGCCAGTTACCCCTTCCTGTGAGGGTCCTTAGTATTTTACCAGTTCTTTTAAACTACATTCTTCCCAACAATGTTTCCCTAACAATCATTCCTGTGAAGGAATGGAGAGGGGCCAGGTGGTGGTGGCGCACGCCTTTAATCCCAGCACTTGGGAGGCAGAGGTAGGCGGATCTCTGTGAGTTCGAGGCCAGCCTGGTCTACAGTGCGAGAGCCAGGAAAGGCACCAAAGCTACACAGAGAAACCCTATCTTGAAAAACAAAGAAAAAAAGAAAGAAAGAAAGGAAGGAAGGAAGGAAGGAAGGAAGAAAAAGAAAGAAAGAAAAAAATTGAAAAAGAAAGAAAGAAAGAAAGAAAGAAAGAAAGAAAGAAAGAAAGAAAGAAAGAAAGAAAGAAAGAAAGAAAGAAAGAAATGGAGAGGGGGTGCAACCCAGACTCATAGACAGCCCTCTCTGGGAGGAAGCAACAATCTTACCTAAGAAAATGGTCCTCTCTCTCCCTGTGCCCCTACAGCCCCAGCCAGCCAGTGTCGTCGAAGCAGGCTCTGCACCTACAGCCCCACCAGTCGGCCCACCCTCATCTTTGGTGGTAGGACCTGTGATGGTGGCAGTCCCTCCAGCCCACGGAACCCACCATGACCTGCGCCATGCCTTCTCACCCGTGGCCTCAGTGGAGTCGGCCTCGGGAGAAGTTGTTGGCCCACCTAAGGTGGTCCAGCCTAGCATTGTGGGTGCTGCCGGTCCAGCGGTCCAGCTGTGCCCAGGCAGGGTGAGACACTTCAAGATCTAGGCTAGACTCAGTGAAGTAAGGTTTTTGGCAGAGAGGACATAGCCGCCATTTTGTCCAAGACTGGACATGAAGCTGGCGAGCTTGTCCACTGACAAGACAGGTGCCGTCTAACAGCTTGAATTCCAGCTCTCTTCATCCCTCAGAGGACAGGGGCAGAGAAGGGATGGCCGGCAGCAGCATTGCCACATATGTGACAACAAACGGCTGCTGCCATCGTTTCTCTGCCTTCTCGCTGACCTCATAAAAAACGGTTGCAACCGTGACATTGAAAGGTGCTCTTGCCAATCTTATATCTACCCATAAATAAAAGTGCCTGAAGGACCTTTCTTAAATAAGAAGGTTCTGAGCCAAAATGTGGTCACGGTCATTGTCTACCTCCTTCCAGTCTCCTTGTATGTGTGGTCTGTCAGTCCAACAAGTGCACGGATGTCACTTTACCAAGTCTACATGGAATAGAAGCAGAGATGCAGGAGAAAAATCTACTGGGTTGCAATAATCAGGAAAGTATGAGACCAAGATGTGCTTGAAGCCCATAGGCAATGACCGTTTCCTCATGAGAAAACAATTCTGTTCACTGATGGAGAACCAAAAACATTCTCAAAGGAGGTCCCAGGGCCTACACTTTGTAAAAACAAAGTTGGCTTTTCCCAACTCTAGGGAAAAGAGGGACTGGTAATTAACACACGGTTCTCACTCTCATTGGATTGGTTCATTATGCATGTAGAAGGTCCCTGTTGATTGAGGTAGTGATCATTGTGTGAGTCCAGTAACCTGACCTCAACCCCCAGCAACCACAGGAAGACGGAAATAGAGCCGCCTCCCCAAAGACCTGCTGTGTGTGGACTGCGTGCACTTCATTGTATGATGGGGGTGGGGGTGGGGGGTTGGTCTTTCTAGTTCACCCACTTTAAAACCAGAATAAGCCGGGCGGTGGTGGCGCACGCCTTTAATCCCAGCACTCGGGAGGCAGAGCCAGGCGGATCTCTGTGAGTTCGAGGCCAGCCTGGTCTCCAAAGCGAGTTCCAGGAAAGGCGCAAAGCTACACAGAGAAACCCTGTCTCGAAAAAACCAAAAAAAAAAAAAAAAAAAAAAAAAAAACCAGAATAAAAGGTCTGCTGTCAGAACAGTTAAACAGTTACAGAAGGAGAATCTGGGAAGATGACCTGTAAACGTCTGTGGACGTTCTCAGGCACCAGATGGCATGATGGACTGAGTCGGTCCCCGTGAAGGGGGAGTCCTAAGCGGCGTCAGTTTTTATTTGTCATAAGTCATTCTGCTACCTCACTCCTGGGCCTTTCCAGACAGAGTTTTAATACATTAGGCCAGTTGAGTGGCCACACTGAACCAGGAAGACAGGGTCAGGCATTGCTACTGTCCGTGTCACCTGCCTCAACGGTTTGTCAACATGACAGAGAAAGAAGGACTGTCCAGAAAAGCAAGAAAATCACAGGGCTGAAAGCATGCAGATATAAAGAAGAGGGCATGGGCAGCTGTGCCGGCTGCTGCGGGGAGAGCAGAGGGCACAAAGACTGAGAAAAGCCACTGTTTAGTTGGTGACTGAGAGGTTACAGTCACCATTGGCTGGTGTGGTTGCACTAGGAGGGGTCACCTGAATGTCCAAGGTTGCCCAGTGGGACGTGATGAGGAACTAGAGGGCAGGCGAGGTCCCCTCTGTCAAGCAGATTATGAGGGGTACAAGAGACCAAGTGTCACCTGGGAGAGTAAGCAATGGGAAGAAAGGTTTCTCATCTAAGAAAAACGGTTCCGAGTGCCATTAGGGAAGCAGTGGAAGAAGTCAGGAAGTGAACAGTCATGGTGGGTGTTAGCAGGCGGGAATTCTAGTCTTTCTTTGAGGAAGCTTGCCAGGGGGTCCCAAAGCGACACTTCTCCCACAGGGCTGCAGAAGATTTATCCACTTTCCACTCTCGCTACACACAGGAGTGGCTGTGAGAGAGAATGTTGTGGATTAGAGGTTCCCCAGGGCAGGTGGCAAGTGTGCAACCCGAATTAAGTAAAAAGGAGAATGATATTCATTGAGCTGGTCTTCGCTAAGAAACAGCTGGATCCAGGAGTCCAAAAGATGTCATCAAGTTCTACCCTACTTATTTCCCATGTCCCCCCTCTCTCCTTGCCTCCAACCCCTTCAATGCAGCCACCAACAGCCTTGCATCTACCCAACCCTCCTGGATGAAAGACCAGCCAAGACATCCAAGGAAGGAGCGTTCTGGGCTGGAAGAGCAGGCCCAGGGGCTCTGTGGCTGCCGTAGATTGGTATGGTTAAGAACAGAGACAGGTTGAGCTGAAGAGGGAGGGCGAAAGACTGGAGGGGACAAGAGCCAGGCCATGAGCAGCCCTGCTACCCCCAGAAGGAATTGGAGTGTTGGTCCAGTTGAAAACACTAATGGTTTTAGATGGAGGTGGGTGGTGTAGTCGACTTTGCATTAAAGGATTGGGGGGCAGGGGGGGTGTATCTGGAGAGATAGTTTAGAAGTTAGGGGCATTTGCTGTTCTTGCAAAGGACCTGAGTTCAGTCTCCAGCAATGGTCTGCCACTCCAGTTCCAAGAGATCCAATACCCTCTTCTGGCTTCTGTGGGTATGAAGCACACATGTGGTATTCATGCCTATATGCAGAAAAACCCCTACACCTACAATACAAATATATTTAAAATATAAAATCACATACACCAGGCCTCTCAGACTGGGGACGGGATGGAGTACAGTGAAGCAGAATCATGCCATACCCCCTGAGACCCATATGGAAGTGGGGGCATTTTCTTGGGAGGCCATTGACGTTTGGAGGTCAGGTGCCAAACATTCCCAAAATGTGCAGAACAACCCTGACAATGATTAATCGATGAAGTCTCGTCATTAACTGAGTGCCAATGGCCCCTACAAAGTTGCTTGATGGAAAGCAGATTGAAGCCACATGACTACAGCCTTGGTGGGCGGCAGACATGATACAAATTTGGAGGTCAAAGTCCCAGATCCTGCTGTTGAATTTGATGTGGCAGTATGAAAAAACAAGGTCTGGAACTGTGCCTTTGCAAACTGGGCTGGGTAGGGAGACCTATGGCCGGGGTAGGGAACATGGTTCATTCCATTTGACTTAGTTCAGATTCTCTCTCCTCGAAGTTTTACTGTCTAGCTGGCCCATATAATTGCCTCATGAATTTGAAGGAGGTGTTACAGCCAGACGGACCTGCAGGAACTGGGCCACACAGCTCACCTTCCTTCTCTTTGGGCCCTCACGTGAACAGGTGCTCCGAAGTGTGAGGACAAGGGGATGCTATGAATGCACACATGGCACTTCCTGACGCCGTCTGGGTTTGCAGAACATAAACGCTCTCTCGGCCTCCCCCTCTCTCCCTCCCGCTTTCTCGCCCTTCTCTTTCTTTGCTTAGAATTTAATGGTTTCAGAAGGCTGAGTTCTTGACTTCCTCTAAATCTATGCTGTCCATCTGGCAAGTTCGTCCTCTCTCATGACTATTAGTCACACACAGATAAATTTCACTGTTTTGCTCCAGCTCAGATGTCTTCCTGAATCCAGCATGGCACCTCCAATGCCTCCAGGATTTCCTCACTTGAATCTACCAAGAAAGGCTTCCATTATTTTCTGTAAATAATGCTAGCTGGAGACCTAGCATCGTTGAAAATGTATGTTGTTTTCGTAGAACGTCATCCCAGTTACAAACACTCAGTAGGAGGATGGGTTAGGAAACTACTGAAGCCACTTCTCCCACAGTGTCCTTGCATAGAGAAGGGCCATAGAGAAGTGGCCCCGCACTCTCTATATGCTGTTGTTAGAGGCACTAATTAGCCTAGGCTGACCCGAGACACAGCGTGGATTCAAATTCTCCATCCTCCTGCCCCAGCCTCCCAAGTACTGGTCTTATAGGCATGTGTGACCCACTGAGTTTGTATTTTCTTAACATCATCCTTAGTATTTTGCAGAATGCTCCTTCCTAAATTAAAGTGTTACATACAGCCCATTCACTTGCCTTCCTAGTGGCCTTGTAATCACGACTGTTTTCCATTGGGTTTCAGGTGCATTTCTAAGGACCTGTGCCACCACGACCAGTCACCTACACTGACAGATCTGTCACAGTTTGCTTTCCATTCATGTGATAAAACGCAATGACCTGCCAGGCAGTGGTGGTGCACACCTTTAATTCCAGCACTCGGGAGGCAGAGGCAGGCAGGCCACAGGCCACTTGGTCTCTACCTCAGCTATTCAGCTGGGTCTTGCTGAGACAGAGGCAGCTTGGACAGGATATAATCAATGTATGGCTGGTTCCAACTAGATTTGTGTTTAAAAAAAAATTAGCACAGAGCTGGAGCTGGCCTTTGGGTGCTTTTTCAAAAATGGCCCCAAATCATAGAAAAGGGGAAATGGGGTTAGGAGAGAGATGGGTGGTCAGAGGCTGGGGCAGTCTCCTGTGAAGTTGGGTGCTTGCTTCAGGAGTTAAGAGGGTCAAACAAGGCAAAGGCGAGGGTGTGCTATGTGGAGTGGTAAGTGCACATGAATAAAGACAGTGTGGAGCTGGGGGCAGGTCTGCAGGCTAAGTGCTAAGGGTCGTCAACAGCGAGGGAGAGATCAGAGGGTCAGAAGACGGCAGTGAAGAGGAAAAGGAAGCCGAGTCTACCAGAGACAAGGTGTTCCTACCTCCTCTAAATCAGTCATTCCCAACCTTCCTAGTGCTGCGACCCTTTAATACAATTCCTCATGTTGTGGTATGAAGCGTTTATCTAATTATTCTTTGTCAATAAAAAGTTGGTACTTGCCGGGGGTGGTGGTGCACGCCTTTAATCCCAGCACTCGGGAGGCAGAGCCAGGCAGATCTCTGTGAGTTCGAGGCCAGCCTGGGCTACAGAGTGAGATCCAGGACAGGCACCAAAGCTGTACAGAGAAATCCTGTCTCGAAAAACAAACAAACAAACAAACAAAAACCCCTCGGGACTCAGATATCAGGATAAGAACCTAATTGGTCAGAGAAGTGGCAGAGAAGTGACCAGTGACCTCCTCTGTCTCTCCTTCCTCAATCCAAAAGGGCCAAGCAGCTCTCTAAGCCCCTCCCTACTACTTCCTGTGTCTCTCTATGTCCTGGGTCTTCCAAAACCT